GCCTTCCAGCTGGGATTGTGTCCCTGGGAGGGGACCTTCTCAGCAAGAGCCCCTCTTGTCCTTGAATTGCTAGTTCCCAAACACCTGAGACCAGAGATAAGGTCAGCCTGGGACTGTGCGTCCCCACCCCCCTGCTTCCTGCCGGCTTGGAGTGTCAGTTACCCTGACTGATCAGGGCTTCCCCCTTAGGTGACATTCAGATCTACAGCCGCCAGCATCAAACAAAACCCTTTTTTCTTGCTTTTGTGTCACTTTGGAGCCGATGCCCCCACAGACTAGCAGTGTGACCTTGTGGACCACACAGGACTGTGGCCTCCGGTGCTGCTGTCCCAGCCAGAATCCTGTCCTTGAAAGGAGGGCTCCCTGTGCCTCCTGCCAGGTGACTGGAGGTTCTGTCCCAGGCGTGTCCCGAGGGGACAGAGACCTACAAAGCCCAAATGCCCTTCAGCAGCTCTGCCCTCTGTTCTTGCTCGGTAGCTTTTGTCTGCCTCCCTGAGTTCCCAGCCCTGTTCCTCTTCAGAAAGGACTGAAACCCAGCCACAAAGAACATCAGAAGCAGCCAGGGCTGGCTCCCGGTGGTGACAATGCACTTCACTAAGCAAACATCACCTTTGGCCACGGGTCCACTTGGTTGTCCTGGCAACGTGGGTAGCTTGTGTCTCGGGGGTACACTGTGCCCTCATTCTGGTTCCCAGGGTCCCCTGCCCCAGCCTTCTCTGCCCGGTCCTTTCAACAGGGCTCCACATCCTGGCGCCACACGGCATTAGCTATTCTTCAGTTTGGAGGGGCTTTGTCTGGAGCAGCAGAAAGCTGCCTGACTTAGCTCTAAAGGAATAGATCCACCCTTTCTTCTTCCCAGGTCCCTGCCGCCTGTCACCTCTTTCAGAGCCACAGGCCTCAGCCTGGCCCACCGGGTCCTTGAGGTCTGGCCGCGTCTCCTCGCTGACCTCAGCTCCCACTCTCTGCATCGCTGGTCTGCACCTCCAAGGCCCGCACCCCAGGCCTCTTGCACTCGCTGCTGTACGCTGTCCCTAGTTTTTGTGTGCTTGTCCCACTCTTCATGCATGTCCCTCTCTCTGATGTCCTCCTCAGAAGGGCTCTTCAGCCCCCTTACCTAGCATGGCCGCCGGGCCTTACCTGAATGTTCTTATCCAGCTTTGTCTTTCCTCATAGCACCCTTCACCTGCCGCATCATATCATAGACTCAATTTTTTTCTTGGTCTGGGTCCTTCCTCCCCTCCAGAATCCTGGACGGGACAGGCACGTGGTTGACACTCAATAACACTTGTGCAGTAGTGCATGCATGGCCGGGCTGGGTCCAAAGCCTGGCCCTTCCACCAGGTAGCTCCGTGGCATTGCCCCCTCGTCACTCTAGGCCTTGATCTGCTTGCCTGCACAACAGAAGTGACAAGGTCTGACTGTGGAGTGGTGGCAATGAGTGGGAGGTGCCCAGCGACTCCGCAGACAGTAGCTGACTTTAGCTTTTCACTCCTTCATCAGAATGTTGCCCTTTGCCCGAGGCTCTGACCCCCCAGTACTCTTCCAGGCCCTTCCAGCCCTGTGAGGTGCCCAGGATGTCCTGCAGCATGTCCACAGAAGCGACAGCCGGCCACTGGTGGGGCCAGAGCGTCCCTCCCACAGGGGGGCTCTGCCTTCGTGTTGGGCTGCCCCAGGCTTCGCAGGGAAGACCAGTCTGCCTCAGCCTTCCAAGCTGTCTTCCCGAGGCCCAGCAGACGGCCCCCACCAGCCAGATGAGATGCCCCCTGTGCAAATCCAGAACCCTCCTTCACTCCCCTCCCACAGCCAGGACCTGCAGCCAGGCCCCAGAGAGCGGGGCTTCACGGAATTGCTCAGGGGTCCCCCGGTGCAGGTCAAAAGGTGTGAGAAGGAGAAGGAGCATTCCCAGTTCTTTATCAGCAGGCTAGATCATAGATGGGCCCATTGCTGGGGCTTTCAGGAGAGGAGACATTCCTCCCACTTAGAGTCCTGCTGCTTTTAGTTTGATGTGCAGGTACTCGCTTCTGCTTATCAGGTCTGGGATTTTTCAAAGAGGACAGAGCCAGCAAATGAGCATGGCATTGAACATACCCTGCACACGGAATCTGAACAAAGCTCGGGGGACTTGGGGCACAGGTGTGGTGGGGACAGGCAATCTGCCTCGCCAGGGCCAGGGCCAGCGGATGACAGGACAGTCCTCAGCTGGGAGGTCCCTGGGATCTGCGTCTCCTCACTTAGATGACAGGATAAGACACTTGCTGAGCCAGTTGACACTTCACACAAAGAAAAGAGGAAGCCCGATGCTGAGAGGTAAAGGACAGGATTGTGATTCATTTAGTGTATTTATCAATGAATCAATGACACAAAAGGGACAGCTAGCCTCTACTACGGTAGCCAAAGGGAAGAGAATAATGGTGAGACAGAACAGAACGAGGCCCTCTCAGGGGACTAGACCCCCTGTAAACATGAAGGGTTGCAGCTGGGACCAAAAGGACGATCACACGGAAATTGGGGCTGCACTTGGACAACTGCCCAAAAAACATGAAAGCTTTTAAGGAGGGGACCCGGGACAGACCTGCTGGACAGGGGAGGGTGCCTGCCTGCCGAGGCCCGAACGCTTGGAACCAAGGGGGGAAGTGGGTTCAAATCCCAGCTCACCACTCAGCAGCCGGGAGACCCTGGGTTGTTTCTGGCCCTCTCTGGACGAAGACCCTGACCGCATGAGAATGGCCACAACGTCCCAGCAGGTAATTTTGACGAGCAATAAGCTGAGTAGAGGATCTGCCCAGTGCCAAGTTCAACTGGCCAGAACCTGTAAGTAGAAAGCACTCAGCTCGTGGTCGCTGTTGGTAATCCATCCACACAGAAATATAGAGCATGTATTTTTAAAGTTACGAGGAGCCCTGTCTCCTCTGAACCTCTCAGACGTACGTGGAGTGTCATGTCCAGGCCTAGGCTTCTTGTCCTTGTTCTCTTTAGATATATGTGGCAGCAGAGTGTATTTTGACATAGTTTACATACAAGGAGTTTAACTTATCCTAATTATGAACACAAGAAAGTTCTGATTCATTCCACTGTCTTTCCCATTCCCATCCCCTTCTCTTCCCTTCCTTCCCCTTTGTCTAATCCAATGAACTTCCATTCTTCCCTCCCCCTACCTTATTGTGTGTTAGCATCTACATATCAGAGAGAACATTTGGCCTTTGGTTTTTTGGGACTGGCCTATTGCACTTAGCATGAGAGTCTCCAGTTCCGTCAATTTGCCAGCAAATGCCATGGTTTAATTCTTCTTTATGGCTGAGTAATATTCCGTTGTGTATATAAACCACATTTGCTTTATCCATTCATCTGTTGAAGGGCACCTAGGTTGGTTCCACAGCTTAGCTATTGTGAATTGAGCTGCTATAAACATTGATGGGGCTGTGTCCCTGTAGAATGCTGAGTTTTAAGTCCTTTGGGTATAAACTGAGGAGTGAGACAGCTGGGTCAAATGGTGGTTCCACTCCAAGTTTTCTGAGGCATCTCCATACTGCTTTCCAGAGTGGTTGCACCAATCTGCAGTCCCACCAGCCATGTAAGAGTGTGCCTTTTCCCCACATCCTCACCAACTTTATTGTTACTTGTATTCCTGATAACTGTCATTCTGACTGGAGTGAGATGAAATCTCCGTGTAGTTTTAATTTGCATTTCTCTAATTGATAGGGATGTTGGACATTTTTTCATGTATTTGTTGGCCATTTTTGTTTCTTCTGTGAAGTCAGGCCTAGGCTTTGTATGTAAGGTAAGTAAGAAAGTAACCAGCTAATGATGGATCGGGCAGAGCCAGCCTGAGATAAAGCTCCAGACACAAGTTCTATTTTGTTCTTGTTGAGATTAAGAAGAAGGACGTTCTATGCTGATACGAAGAACCAGAGTAGAGGTGAAAAGAAGTCAGTGGGGAAGGTCTCAGCTTGAAGTGAGAGAAACGGTGCAGTCTGCAGTGGAGGATGCTCTCCTGCAAGGTACTGAGCTCCCCATCACTGCAAGTATGGAGCAGAAATCGCATGACCATCTGTCAGAAATGTCATAGAAGGAATTTTTTTAATCCAAGGTCCTTGCCAGAAAACAAACCTGGATCTGGATCCAGTTTCCTGAAGTTGGTCACATGACCCGGGCAGTTTAACCTCTTTGAACCCCAGTGTCCTTCTCATGAAATGGAAATAATATGTGTCTCAAATAAGTACTATAAGAATTAAGTCTGGTCATGCCCAGAAAATACTGGGACCATTCAGTGTGGACTCATTCTGCCCCCCATGGAATAAAAATCAGGGTGCTGTGGCTTCTAAGGCGTCCTCTCTGGGGCTAAGAGACACAACACAACCATAAAGAAGCTTCCAGAAGAATGAACAGCCCCCACACACTGGGCAAGGACAGGACCAGGTGTCGACAGGCAGCCAGGCTCCCCATGGCAGCCACGTGGGAGCAGGACGTGGTCAGCCTGGGGGACTCGGGATGCAGCCCCCGCTGGTCACTGCTGAATGCCACAGGCACATTGCCAAGGCTCCGCCTCGGCCCTGGTTCCATATGAACACCACCTGTGTGATCCGGCTTGAGAACCAAGCGTTAGAGGGAAGTGAAAGCAGAAGACGTGCTTCTGAAGCTGGAAAATTGGTGCAAAGAAAGATGTGACCATTTAGAGAGGACCCTTGGGGTGTGGAGGGCTCTTTCTCAGAGGAAGAGGAAATACTGTTTTGCATCTTCCCTGAGGACTCAGGAGGAAATAATTGAGCTCAATAGTAAGAGGATTAGTAGAGGTGGAGAGAATTCCCTCCCAGTGACAGGTGTTGGGCAGTGGGGGGTCAGCAGGGAGGACAATCCTAGAAGCGATCAGAGATTGCCATCCAGAGGCCACAGAGGAACACACGGGTCCCCTTTCATCTGGGGATGCACGTGGGCTCTATCTCGTGCTCTTCCTTCTGCCTTTCTTCCTCTTGGAGTAACCCACCAACATCTTCCTTCTACAGGAGTCTCAGAAAACGTGGCCTTTCCCTCGACACCAGACCAGGAAGACAGACTGCGATCACAACTGGAGGAAGAGAAGAGAAGGTGCCCATTTTTTTTTTCCATACACAGCCTGACCCCTGCCTCCTTAGGCCTTAAGGACAACCTGAAGGCACCCAGGGCTGGAACCACAGCCAAATGCAAAACGGGGCAGGAAGCCACAAGCTGCATTTGGGCGATGAGGTTAGGATGCTGACCAGCCACCCCTGGCCCCAGAAGCCGCTCGTGTTGTCTACTGCTGCCACCTAGAGGCAGCAAGAGATATGACCATGGTGGTCTCCTCTGCAGCTTCCCTCCCAGGTCACACCTTCACACCTCCACACAGCCTCTCAGGGGCCCAGAATTATTTTACTTATACTGTACGGATCTCCATGCATAAACATACATGTGGCCATCACAGAATCTCCCTCATCACCCCAACCAAGCAGCTTAGTTCATTCATTTCTATATGCATTCAACATGTCGGCTAGTTCCTCCTTGCCCTGGAGAGGGTCTGGAGAGACTGAGCAAGCCCCCTTCCCTGCCTCAAGTGGATGATGGGGTCATTGCATCACAGTCCCCACCCAGCACCCCGCACTGGGCTGATGTGACATCACCCTGATAAACTCTGTCACCTACCGCCCCACTCACACACCCCAGGAGAACAAAGCCCCTGGCTCTGGTCTCCAGGCCACTCCTGACAGCAGGGCACTCTGTCTTCTTCCAGAATGTCCTTCCACACTCACGGCCATTGTTCTCCAGCCCCTTGGTCTATGCCCCGGTTGTCCACCTTCTGCCTTGCTGTTTATTATCCTGTTTCTTCCTAAATCCCATTATTCTCATGTCATCCCATTATTCCACCAGTCTTATCCCCTCGGTCTACATTTCCAATCTCAGCGTCACCTCCGAAGGCACATTGTCTCATTAGCTCGGCTATTGGACTGTTTCTGGTGGACTATTTCTGATTTGGTGTAGCATTCCCAATATCCCCAACAGACATTTAACTTTGGGTCCTTACCACGAAGATGAACCAGCAGAATGGCAGACTGTGGTTCTAGGCCAGACTGTCTGGGTTCAAATCCTGGCTTCTCTGTTTGTTCTGTGTATGGAACACATTGCCTGGGCACATTATCTGACCTCTCCATGCCTCTGGTTCTGAATCTGTGCCAGGGATTTAAATGAGCTGGTATATGTTTGCTGCCTACAGCGATGCCTGCCCCGTTAGTTAAGTGCTCAATAAAAGAAGTAGATCACAGGTTGGGGATAGCTCCCTGGTAGAGTGCTTGCCTGACATCCTGGAGGCCCTGGGTTCAATACCCAGCACTGGAGAAAAAAAAAAAAGTTGGTTGTCACTCTTGAAAAGGGTTTCTTCATCTCCCTTATGGATTCCCAACCCTGCTGGGCAGAAATGCCTCCGTCTGCTTCTATATGATGGACTAGACCCTGGTGCCCTACCCTGGCCTTGGTAGGCTTCAGTCTGGTCCCAGGTCCCAGGCCCCAGGCACCGGGCAGCACTGCCAGGCTTCTGAGATTCAGTGACCTTCGAAAGAATGTGACACCACCTCTTCCTGATCCCACTGCAGGTACAAAATTATGTTCACCCGCCTGAAGGCCCTGAAGGTAGAGATCGAGCACTTGCAGCTGCTCATGGACAAAGCCAAGGTGAAGCTGCAGAAAGAGTTTGAAGCCTGGTGGGCAGAAGAGGCCACTCACCTGCAGGTATGGTCTAGGGCGCATCAAGGCAGCTGGGGAGGGGACTGTCAGGAGACAGGAAAAGGAGGGGCTTTTACCCCCCAGGCTCACGAATTTCTGTTCATTTATTTGCTACTTTAGAAGGTAATTCTGAACTACATAGTCCTAGAACTTTAACTAAACAAGCATTACAAGAGTTAACTTTAGTTGAACAATGTTTAAATGAAGGATATTTGTCTTATATAGACTTAGAAAAATCTGTACAACTAATTCTCTTCCATATTCCTCACTCCCCGTCTGGAGTACTAACTCAAAATGATCATATAATAGAATGGATTTTTTTACCTAATAAGTATAATAAATGATTAACTACATATATGGATAAACTAGGCTTTTTAATAATTAAAGGTAGATCTAGATTGTTACAATTGAGTGGTAGAGAGCCAAATCAAATTATTACTCAAATAACTCAGCAACAAATTTCTTACAATTTATAATTAAATGATAATTGGCAAATTGCTTTAGCTGGTTATTCTGGAGCTCTAACTACTCAATATCCTAAATCTAAAGTCTTTGAATTTTTTAGAAAACATTCTATGATATTAGTAAACCCTATTTCTTCGATTCCTCTTTCCGGTATTACTGTTTTTACTGATGCTAACAAAACTTCAGCAGGATATTGGACTCCTATAGCTTCTAAAGTATATTCTCATGCTGACCTGCAAGTGAATTACTGCAACACTAGGAACACAGAAGGTCAAGGGTTCATGGTTTCCTTGCTCCTGCGCCTCACATGACCCATGGGATAGCAAGGATGGGAGATGCAGCTTCCCAAAACCAGGGGGTCTGCCACCATTGCTTTGTGTAAGAGACTCCACACATTCACATTTATTGTTTTTCAGATACAGTCATATATATGCATGTTAATTATAGAAATGTTAGAAAATACAGAAAACTCAAAGAAAAGTAAAAATTACTTTAATCCCTCCCCTTAAGGATAACCAATTAATATTAATATAACTAATTAATATAACCAATTAACATGTTAGTCTTATATTATTTTATCTTTTTTCTCTGCATATATACATATATATCAATATATTTTTAAAAAAAATATAATCATATTGGTCCTCAAATATCAAAATATTTTTTTTTCTTTACTTAATTGTTTAAATAATTGTTTTTCTGTTATTCTACAATAGCATTCCTGGAGCTTACTGTTCCGTCTTATGAATACATTTTAATATATTTTGATTTATTTAACCCATCTGTTCTTGACTGTTAAGGTTGCTCCTAGTCTTTCACTCAAAATATATCTGCAGATTAATTTTTGCATATTTCCTATTCTCGTTCCTTGAGGGCTCTGTAATATCATAAAGGCTAAAATAACTCACTAGAAGTGTCAGTGTAAATCCTGGTTTCAGCTGTCCTCTGGTAACTCCTCAGCTGTGGTACCACGGAAGTGACAAAGTGCACATTGTCACGCCACTCGTGTGGCTGGGGAACCCTTCACGATTGCCTCCCAGGCTGATCCCTTCGTTTTAAGAACAAGGAGCTGGAGAGCCAGGGAGGATATCTGCCCAAGGACACAGAGCCGAGCAATAGCCAGCATGCTACCTAGTGGCCATGTGACAGGACAATACAGAAGAATATGTGCACAAAATAAACTCACAGGAGAACAAAGGAAACCAACTAGATTGAAATGTAGGTATCAGAACAGTCTAAGAGCAAAGCATAACAATATGTACAGCACGTTTAAATGTATTGATAAGATCTAGGGGTCTTATTATCGATAAAATGTTATCAATGTTTACCATAACTTCAAAGTCATGATGAACACTATATTTCTGAGCCAACTATGATGGTAGGAGAATATGTGTGATTTCTTGGTGGCAATGTCACAGGCCCTGCTAACACTACTGTGGCTTATTATCTATATTTGTTAACTTCCAGTAGAAGTTCGGGAAAATAAAGGTAAAACTGATGCCCGACCACAGCCACAGCGCCCTGGGTTCTGTCTGTGACTCCAGGTCCGAGCCCTCCTAGCGAGTTCAGCATGATTGAGTTCTTTGGCCCCAGCTGAGACCCAAGAGAGCTGAGCCACTGAACAGTGGATGAGGTCATCCAGTATGACTCAGGAAGTGTCCAGGCAAGGCTGGATTCAGATAGGTTACTGCTTACATGGACAATGAGAGCAGAGTAGCCAAGAGTTTCAGCTCCACTTGTCCCCTGTCCCCATAGTCTACAACATGAGACAATGCCAGGTGATGGCAGTGGGGTGGTGGGACACCCTGTTGCAGGAGAGCCCATTCTCTGCTGCGGCTGAGCAGTTTTGCAGCCTATACTGTAACTGTCCTGAATGGGCAGAGGCACAAGACCCAGACCTTATCAGAACAAGGGAGGTGACGAGAATCTGTTGTGTGGCAACTCCCAGGAAGATGGGAGGTCAGCAGGAACCTCCTTGCTGTGGCCTTGCAGCGCCTTCTCAAAAGCTTTCCATGCCCCGGGGTTCTGGGCGGATCCTGGGGCGTTTGGCCTTGGCTCAGCTGGGCTGTGAGCCTTGCTCCCCAGGCCAGTGGAGACCCATGAACTCCAGAGCTGTTCCCTACATGAAGTGCTCAAAGAGGATCTTGAAGACAAGGAGAAGCAAACCCAGGAAGGATTTCTAGAGAATCGTCAGATCACATTTTACACATTATCTTTCTAACTACAAAAATAATGTATGTTAAATTTGGAAAACTTGGAAAGCAAAGTAAACCATACAGAAAAAATTTAAAATGGCCCATAAGGGCTGGGGATGTGGCTCAAGTGGTAACGCGCTCACCTGGTATGCGCGGGGCACTGAGTTCCATCCTCAGCAACACATAAAAATAAAATAAAAGATGTTGTGTCCACCAAAAACTAAAAAATAAATATTAAAAAAAAAATAAAAATAAAAAATAAAATGGCCCATAAGGAGAGGCCCTAGGTAAAGAAACTAAACAAATTATATTATCATATAATTTATATAGAATATAAATAATGTTATATAATTATATCAATGTAATTATATATGACAACAACATAATATATAATGTTATATTGTGTGCCTGTACAAATATTTAACAAAGAATCCTATTATTATGTATTATTATAACACACTAATAAAAAAGGAAAGAAAAAAGAAAGGAAATTACCCATAAAACTACCATCTGAAGATAATAATTTGAGACCCAACATTATGGTCATAACTATGTCTAAATTTATTTTGGGCCACACATTGTATAACTGTAATAGCTGGCCTTTCCTCCTTAAGAATGACATCAAGAACATCTTCCTGAGCCATTAGATTCAGGCTAACGCTGTGAAACCCCTTCTTGGACCAACAGGTAGATTCTCCAGCAGCGAATTCCCTGGATCACGCGAAGCCCTCTCCCCAGAGCCCTGAATCCCAGCAGGACCAGTCTCAGCTTCTCTCCAACCAGAGGTGAGTGGAGAACGGCCGACCCATTAGAGTACCCAGGGGAGCTTCCTACCTTTCCCCTTAACCTGTCCCTGCTGCTCTAAAGGTCTCCTTTAGGCTACATGGTCTTGGGGGATGAATGCTTTTACTGTTTGATGATATACTCAGGCCAGGGTCTCGCAAGCTGGCTGGACCGTGCGCCCCTCAGCCCCTCCCTTGGCTGCCAGTGGACCCGCCGCCATGTCGCAGAGGCAAGGGGTTCAACAGTACCAGCCCTGTCCCACCCCTGAGTGAGAAGAAGGGTCGGCAGGACAGGGAGGGGGACCTGGGAGAGGGCGGGGAGGGGCAGACAGGGTGCTGGTGGAATACAGAGGATACAGGGCCTGCCAGGATACAGGGAGGTGGGGGTGAATTGTCCTAAAGAGGATTCTCAGTGCTATATGAGGACTGCCCAGAGCCTGTTTCCCTCAATGATGGGAGGCCCCAGCAGGAACTCCTTCCGCACACCGAGTTCTTGTCTCTTTCCAACCATATGACCCCTGCCTCCTGCCACCCTCCATCCCTCAGACCCAGTCTGTCAGGCAGAGGCCAAGTCAGCATGAATGGGGCGTCCATCACCACCACTAAGGAGCAATGGAGCATTGGGGTTTGAAAGAGCACTGAGCGCTCACATTGGAAATGCAAAATAGAATTTGTCTAAAATGGTAGTAGACAGTGTCTTCTCTTCAGTGTGATGAAACAGGCACTTTCCCTCTTTGCTATTCCTCTCAAAAATTCATTGTCCCAGTTGAAGCATGAGGAAAACATCAGACAATTCCCAATTGAGGAACATTCTACAAAACACCACCCAGTGCTTCACAAATTGGCTCGTCAAGAACAAGGAGTCTGAGAATCTGTCAGAGCCAGGAGCAGCCTGTGGAGACGTGAGGACTGAGAGAGGTGTGGATCTCCCAGGTGGATTCCCAGAATAGAAAAGGGTAGTAGGTCTCAAAATCAAAATAAAAAGGGCTGGGAATGTGGCTTGGTGGTTAAGCTCCCCTGGATTCAATCCCCTGTGCCAAAAATAAACGAATAAATAAAGACAGTAGGTAAAAACTAGGAAGCATTCATCATAAAGAAATGAGAAATGTGTGAGGAGATAAATAACCTGATTCAAACATTACTTAAAGGAAACATGGTATCGGACATTACATGGTACCCCGTTGACATGTACAACTTTCAATGTTTTATATATAAGTTGAAACTTCTTTAAATATGTATATCAAAAAGATATGGCCAAATATTTTTTAAACTAAGAAAATTCAGAAAAAGTATGCACTTTAGTTAATAATAATGTATCAACATACCACAGTGGTATAAAAATGAATACAGGTGAAACCAGGTACTGGGCCTGTGAAATGGTCTGCACTCTCCTTGCATCTCTCCTGGAATCTAAAATTAATCTTAAAAGCAAAAAAAAAAAAAAAAGCATTTCTAGAAAACAGTCTGCCAGCGAAGCCCCCATTCCAGGCTAACCCTCCCGGACTCCCCATGTGTCCTAGTTTCAGGACCCATCTCCCGTGTGCACCTGAAGCCCAGGGTCTGCAGTGGCACAGTGCATTTTGTTTGGGTAATCGGGTGTTTTAAATGGCAGTGTCGATCCATGAAAAAAAAAAGCCACTTGAACTTTATTTTTTTTAATTTTTATTATTGGTTGTTCAAAACATTACATAGTTCTTGATATATCATATTCCACATTTTGATTCAAGTGGGTTATGAACTCCCATTTTTACCCCATATACAGATTGCAGATTCACATCGGTTACACATCCACTGATTTACATATTGCCATACTAGTGTCTGTTGTATTCTGCTGCCTTTCCTATCCTCTACAATCCCCCCTCCCCTCCCCTCCCCTCTTCTCTCTCTACCCCCTCTACTGTCATTCATTTCTCCCCCTTGTTATTTTTTTCCCTTTCCCCTCACTTCCTCTTGTATGTAATTTTGTATAACCCTGAGGGTCTCCTTCCATTTCCATGCAATTTCCCTTCTCTCTCCCTTTCCCTCCCACCTCTCATCCCTGTTTAATGTTAATCTTCTTCTCATGCTCTTCCTCCCTACTCTGTTCTTAGTTAATCTCCTTATATCAAAGAAGACATTTGGCATTTGTTTTTTAGGGATTGGCTAGCTTCACTTAGCATAATCTGTTCTAATGCCATCCATTTCCCTGCAAATTCTATGATTTTATCATTTTTTAATGCAGAGTAATACTCCATTGTGTATAAATGCCACATTTTTTTATCCATTCATCTATTGAAGGGCATCTAGGTTGGTTCCACAATCTTGCTATTGTGAATTGTGCTGCTATGAACATCGATGTAGCAGTGTCCCTGTAGCATGCTCTTTTTAGGTCTTTAGGGAATAGACCGAGAAGGGGAATAGCTGGGTCAAATGGTGGCTCCATTCCCAGCTTTCCAAGAAATCTCCATACTGCTTTCCAAATTGGCCTCACCAATTTGCAGTCCCACCAGCAATGTACAAGTGCACCCTTTTCCCCACATCCTCGCCAGCACTTGTTGTTGTTTGACTTCATAATGGCTGCCAATCTTACTGGAGTGAGATGGTATCTTAGGGTGGTTTTGATTTGCATTTCTCTGACTGCTAGAGATGGTGAGCATTTTTTCATGTACTCATTGATTGATTGTATGTCCTCCTCTGAGAAGTGTCTGTTCAGGTCCTTGGCCCATTTGTTGATTGGGTTATTCGTTTTCTTATTGTTTAATTTTTTGAGTTCTTTGTATGCTCTGGATATTAGGGCTCTATCTGAAGTGTGAGGAGTACAGATTTGTTCCCAGGATGTAGGCTCCCTATTTACCTCTCTTATTGTTTCTTTTGCTGAGAAAAAAACTTTTTAGTTTGAGTAAGTCCCATTTGTTGATTCTAGTTATTAACTCTTGTGCTATGGGTGTCCTATTGAGGAATTTGGAGCCCGACCCCACAGTATGTAGATCGTAGCCAACTTTTTCTTGTATCAGATGCCGTGTCTCTGATTTGATATCAAGCTCCTTGGGATTCAGTTTCATTTTGTTGCATATGGATTTCCAGTTTTCCCGGCACCATTTGTTGAAGATGCTATCCTTCCTCCATTGCATGCTTTTAGCCCCTTTATCAAATATAAGATAGTTGTAGTTTTGTGGGTTGGTTTCTGTGTCCTCTATTCTGTACCATTGGTCCACCCGCCTGTTTTGGTACCAGTACCATGCTGTTTTTGTTGCTATTGCTCTGTAGTATAGTTTGAAGTCTGGTATCGCTATACCGCCTGATTCACATTTCCTGCTTAGAGTTGTTTTTGCTATTCTGGGTCTTTTATTTTTCCATATGAATTTCATAATTGCTTTATCTATTTCTACAAGAAATGTTGTTGGGATTTTGATTGGCATTGCATTAAACCTATAGAGAACTTTTGGTAATATCGCCATTTTGATGATGTTAGTTCTGCCTATCCATGAACAGGGTATATTTTTCCATCTTCTAAGATCTTCTTCTATTTCTCTCTTTAGGGTTCTGTAGTTTTCATTGTATAAGTCTTTCACCTCTTTTGTTAGGTTGATTCCCAAGTATTTTATTTTTTTTGAGGATATTGTGAATGGAGTGGTTGTCCTCATTTCCATTTCAGAGGATTTGTCACTGATATACAGGAATGCCTTTGATTTATGTGTGTTGATTTTATATCCTGCCACTTTGCTGAATTCATTTATTAGCTCTAATAGTTTCTTTGTAGACCCTTTTGGGTCTGCTAGGTATAGAATCATGTCATCTGCAAATAGTGATAATTTAAGTTCTTCTTTTCCTATTTTGATGCCTTTAATTTCTTTCGTCTGTCTAATTGCTCTGGCCAGTGTTTCAAGAACTATGTTGAACAGAAGTGGTGAGAGAGGGCATCCCTGTCTTGTTCCAGATTTTAGAGGGAATGCCTTCAATTTTTCTCTGTTCAGAATGATGCTAGCCTGAGGCTTAGCATAGATAGCTTTTACAATATTGAGGTATGTTCCTGTTATCCCTAGTTTTTCTAGAGTTTTGAACATAAAGGGATGCTGTACTTTGTCAAATGCTTTTTCTGCATCTATCGAGATGATCATATGGTTCTTATTTTTAAGTCTATTGATGTGGTGAATAACATTTATTGATTTCTGTATATTGAACCAGCCTTGCATCCCAGGGATGAATCCTACTTGATTATGGTGCACAATTTTTTTTGATATGTTTTTGTATCCGATTCGCCAGAATTTTATTGAGGATTTTTGCATCTAGATTCATTAGAGATATTGGTCTGTAGTTTTCTTTCTTTGAAGTATCTTTGTCTGGTTTAGGAATCAGGGTGATGTTGGCCTCGTAGAATGAATTTGGAAGTTCTCCCTCTTTTTCTATTTCCTGGAATAGCTTGAAAAGTATTGGTATTAGTTCTTCTTTAAAGGTTTTGTAAAACTCTGCTGTATACCCATCCGGTCCTGGGCTTTTCTTAGTTGGTAGTCTTTTGATGGCTTCTTCTATTTCCTCAATTGATATTGGTCTGTTTATGTTGCCTATATCCTCCTGACTCAATCTGGGTAGATCATATGACTTAAGAAATTTATCGATGCCTTCACTATCTTCTATTTTATTGGAGTATAAGGATTCAAAATAATTTCTAATTATCTTCTGTATTTCTGAAGTGTCTGTTGTGATATTGCCTTTTTCATCCCGTATGCTAGGAATTTGAGTTCTCTCTCTTCTTCTCTTCGTTAGCATGGCTAAGGGTCTGTCGATCTTATTTATTTTTTCAAAGAACCAACTTTTAGTTTTGCCAATTTTTTCAATTGTTTCTTTTGTTTCAATTTCATTAATTTCAGCTCTGATTTTAATTATTTCTTGACTTCTACTTCTTTTGCTCTTGTTTTGCTCTTCTTTTACTAGGATTTTGAGATGAAGTGTGAGATCATTTATTTGTTGGTTTTTCCTTTTTTTAAGGAATGAACTCCAGGCAATGAATTTTCCCCTTAGAACTG